ATGGTCGTCGTTGGGGTGTCGCTGTCTTTGAGGTGTGGGTGAGCAAAAGCGACAAACGCCCCGTCGCTTCGTCCAGAGAGAAGCACTAGTCATGCTGCTTGCGAAACGCGCTTGCAGCTGATCCGACGCACTTCACTTTCCCCCCCACTGCTCAATCCGATCTAAAGAAATGTGTCGCATGAACCGGCATGAACACTGCCGCCCGGCGGCCACAGATCGCGACGTTTTGGTCGACGTCTGCCGCTACATTGAGAAGTATTCAATTTGATTAGAACCCATCTAGGAAGGATCAGATGGGTTTTGCCTGATAAGTCGTAACAAGTAGGACTCAGGCGTCAAGCACATGCTTGATTTTCCATTCATCATCTCCCGTTAAACCTAGAAGGATCACTTGAGAGGGAATAACTGGCCTCCCAGGTCTCGAGAGACCCGGTATGATCAACGAGCAAAACTGGTCACGCGGATACGACGTGACGCCATCTATCGGCCCCTCTTACGTACTGCAATGGGGCCCCCCTTGGCGGGGATATTTGAATTTGACTACCGCACAGACTCCGTCGCCTGGGCCAGGGTTGTGCTAGTATCAAGTAAATTACTATTTGATTGGGGGCCGCTGCTAACGTGGGCTGCTGTGGACATGCAGAAACACTGTCGGAGACTTTTCGGGGGAAATAGCTATTCCGTTCCTGACTGCCTATCTCCGCCATTTCTTCTGTTCCCGCTCTCGCGTCACCGTGTACCCCGACAGCTCGTGCCCAAACTCGAGCACGACGGGGGCCTTGCGCCCAGACTCCAGCCTGTCGGGGTCCTTGGCGCCGAAGGCGGCCGGGTGCGGGGCGGGCGGCGCGGCCGGGGCGAACACGTGCCCTCCGGACGCGAGGATGGCGCTGAGGCGTGGCGAGTCCTCGTCCTCGTCGTGGTCAGTGCTGGCGGGGCCCGAACGGCTGCGCTGCAACATCCGCTCCGCGGGGCCCTTGCGAACCAGCATGGGGTGGCCAGCTCCCTGAAACACGGGCACAGACTTGAAAATTTTTAAGCAATGTAGAAGCAAGCTCCGGGCGTGGATAATTCTCACCGACCAGTATTACTGTAGTGTTTTGGTCCCTGTCGCACCATAATCGTCACATGAAATTATGAGAGTTTGTTTTGGGGCTCATAAGCGCGCCAAGTGTTGTACCCACTCTGTCGCTGCCGATGTGTCCATTTTAGTCAAAATCAGACCAATCCGCCCAATCAACTTTCGGACTGGTCATCCAATCTATTTTAGGGAGCTTCAACCTCTTTGGGGCAGAGGCCGAGGCTGCGGATGCCGCGGGTGACGGCGATGGCGACGGCGAGGGACTCACGTTGACTTCGGTGGCGGCGTGGTCCTGCTCAGTGTCCCTGACGTCGTCCACGTCATCGTCCACGTCGTCCCTCTGCTCCGCGTGCCTGTCGTCGTCCCCGCCGACGTCGTCCATGTTATGATCGAAGTCGGCCGCGGCCGTCTCGCTCTCCATGTCCGCCTTGTCGTCCGAGTCGCCCGAGTCGAACACGTTGTCCGAGAAGCCCGACGACCAGCCGATGTCCATGTCGTCGACGGCGCGGGGCTGCGCGGGGTGGTGCGGGCCGCGCACCATGGCGAGCTCGGGGGACATGGCCACTTGCACGGGCGCGCTCTCCTCCACCTCGAACTCGTCCTCGTCAGGTTCCACCTGGAAAAATCAGGCTTGGTTTAGTTTGTTTTCCGGAGGAAGGAAGGAAGGAAGAATCTGAAGATTGTGCCGTGTAGCTGTAGGTAATTTCAGTGCACAGGAGGCTGACTCACGCGCCGTGCATTTTCTAAGTTATACTGTACCGCATGCACGGGTGCGAGCTGGTTTGCCTATCCTCGCTGCCCACGGCTCCTAAAGGCCCCGTGCGAGTATGCAACCCGGCCCGCACGCGTGCATGCGGTACAGCCAACAGTGAGTCAACCAACTGGCATGTTTGATTAGCCGCATCTTATTACTAGGCATTGTTATAGACAAAGAGGCTGATCCCTGGTCGCGGAAGCGATGTGCGTTTCCGTTGTTTTGTGATTTTGTTAAGTTGGCAATTAG